CATTCATTAGGCGCGACCTACTGACTCGGCCCGACCTAGACGCGCCTACACACCTAACCCCTTGCCTTCCCGTCACCTATCGTCCTCTCTCTATACTTCTATCGTGTTCCTTAACTTAAAAAGCAGAGGCTTCATACGTTTTGTCCCAGCCTTCCTCCGACTGCACCGAACCATGCACGGGGGGCATCCACGGAAATGAGCGGAGCAGCCAATCGCATGAACATCATCCAGGCAAGCTGTTCCGGCACACCCGTTCCCACAGGTAATCCCCCCCCCCCACACACACACACACAACACACAACACACACACACACACACAACACCACCCACTCAACTCATACGTGACTGCTGTTGCATTTTGCCTCGTCAGGCCATGTGTGCCTGTCTGCAGCGACGAAGGAGTTGCCGTTCTGCAACACGAGTCTGTCCATCGGTGCCCGCCTCGACGACCTCATTGGACGCCTCAGTCTTCAGGAAAAGGCCGGTCTCATCGGCCCTGACCGTCACCAGCCCATGCGCTGTTGTTGACTATGGTGTCAAGAGGTGGGAAAGGACATTCAGCGCCTACGCAGTGACTCGTGACTCTGTCTGCTTGTGTTTCCCTTCCCCGTTTCTTCGTGCCACAGCCGCATCAACCGCCACCACCACCACTCACACAACAACACCACCTCCCTCTTCATGCTTGCACATGTGTGCATGGGTGCAGGCTCGACATCCCGCCGTATCTGCATCTGGTGGAGACGAACACGGCCGTTGCATCTGCGTGCAGCAGCCAGGACACGTGTGCCACCACCTTCATTGGCCCCACAGGTCTTGGCGCAGCCTTCAACCGTGTGTGTGTGTGTGTGTGTGAGTGTGTGTGTGTGTGTGTGCCTACGTCTGCTATGTCGGCTTCTTCTTGATCAAAGCTCCTGTCGTTCATTCCCTCCCTCCTCGTCCCACCACCACCGGTTCTTCGCTTCCAGGTCATATCCACGGAGATGCGCGCCTTCAACAATCTCAACTAACACAGGGCGGCAGCGTCTCACAGAAGATCGGACTCACAGGTGTGCCCTTCATCACGTGTTGCTGATGCTGGTGCACACACCACACCCATGCGATCACTCAACAACAGTCGCACGCATTGCTCCCAACCCCCCTTCACACCCACACACTCACTCTCACTCACTCACTTTGCAGGCCCACCCCCTCACCTTTACTGCACCCCTCTCAACCGCTGAGACCCCTTCTTGAGCGGCGAGTACGCTACTGCATACGTGACGGGCTGCCAGGACGGCCCAAACAAGAAGTACAAGAAAATGGCAGCAGGTACGCACACGCATCCACGCTCACACATGCGTGTATGCAAACACCCACAACCGTGTCAGCGACGCTGTTTCATATGCACACTTGGTGGGGATCGTGTCATTTACACTGCTGTCACCGCTCCATCGCGCTGTTTAGGTCTCAGGCACATTGACGCGTACTCGGTCGAGACAAACCGCATGGCATTCAACGGGAACATCTTCACCTTTGATCTCTGGGACACCGAGGTGTGTGTGTGTGTGTGTGTGTGTGTGTGTGTGTGTGTGTGTGTGTGTGTGTGTGTGTGTGTGTGTGTTGTCAGCTCGTGTGCAACCCATCAACATTTCTTGTCAGTTCATCCACGTCACCATGCCTGCGCCATCCCCCCACCTCCCACTTCCTCATCTTCATCCCGCTCCCCGCTGCCATGTGTTTCATGTGCAGTACAAGCGCGGGCACTCACTGCCATGTGCTCGTACCCCAACATCAACGGCGTGCCCTCTTCGTGTGCGAACAACATGCTGCTCAACGACGTCGTGCGCAGGCAGTGGAAGCGTGACATGGTGACGATTGGAACTGACTGCGGTGCGATTTTCAAACATGGTTGTCGCGAACAAGCACGCCCGCGACTTTCGTCGACGCCGTCGCAAAGACGCTGAACGGCGGCGCGGACATGGAGCTCGGGGAGACACACTTCACCAAAAACGACTACTTGGGGCAGGCTGTGAAGCACAACCGCACGACTATCAACACGGTGCACAACGCCGTGCGGCGGGTCCTCAAAGATAGCTTCATCGCAGGCCAATGGTATGTTGACTTATGCTGGCTGTGTGTGTGTGCGTGTGTGTGTCTGTGTCTGTGTGTGTGTGTTTGTGTGCTTGTCCTCAATGTCTCTTGTCAGTTTTGTATCGTTGAGATGATGAAGCGGTGCACGGTTCCTCAACACCTCACAACAGTATTGTCATTGCCTCTCACGCCATGTTCCCCTCCACTCTCACACCCTCCCTCTCCAGACATCGACGAGTGCACGGCCTGTGGGCCCAAGTCTCCCCCGACGGCGAGTATGAGCTCGGCAACGGGTGTGCCGAATGCCACTCCACGCGTGTGCCAGGTGCCACCCCACCGGACGCCACCAACTGCCTCAGCCTCTGCGACGGCAACCTCCCCAGCCGTGCATTGCCCATTGCCCTCTCGACTGGCTACTACGCCAAAGACCACCGCTGCGTGCCAGGCACCACGTGCGGCATGGGCACCTGGGCCTCCATCCCATGTTCCGCGTCCTCCGACGCTGTATGCTCTCCCTGGACCGAGTGCAAGCCGGGCCAGAAGGAGTACGTTTCTGGCAACGCCGTGCGCGACCGTGCGTGCGTGAGCTGCATCCTTTGGCATGGAGTACCAGCCGCTGCCGGAACGCGCCTCGTGCTTCCCCACCAGCGTGTGCGAGGAGCCCTTCATCGAGACCATCCCGCCCACGCTCACCACGGACTGCTTGTGCTCCTGCGACACGCTCACCTGCAGCAAGCTCATCACGCAGCTGTTTGAGGAGATGGTGTGCGCCGAGCCCACGGACGAGCAGCTCGACGTGGTGCTTGACGTGTGCTGCTCCGGCCAGGGCGAGGATGGCATCCGCGACACCATTCGCCAGATGGACGCCAACGAGGCGCGCCGCTCCTGCCCAGGCTGCGCAGACACGTGCGAGTGCAGCGCTGGCTTCATCCTTGTCTACGAGGCCGACTCGGCCGACTGTCAGCCGTGCGACGGCGTGACGGAGTTCTCCCCATCCATTGGCGGCAGCAAGTGCGAGCCCATTGAGGAGTGCGAGCGCGGCCAGGAGGAGGTCTCCGCGCCAACCTGCTGTTCCTTGGACCGCGTGTGCGCGACTGCCCGGGCACCATCGATTCGGACAGCGACGGCTCCATGAGTTGTCAGATGTGCCCCGCTGGCCACTACACGGAGGCGGGCTGCCACGGCTCCTGTTCCAGCTTCACCTGCCGCGCGGGCACTCACCACCACCACGACAGCGACTCGCCAGACCCCGTGCGAGGACGTCACAGAGTGCGCGGCGGGCTTGAGGAGGTGCAGGCCATGACGTTCCTCATCAGCGACCGTGCCTGCGACGAGTGCCCGGAGGGCACGTACAAGGCTGTCTCTGGCCAGCCAGGGCGTGCCCTGCCTCCCTGTCACCACGTACGACGCCGGCAAGGAGGAGACGGCCGAGCCCACCTCCACGAGCGACCCTGTGTGCAGCCAGTGCGAGCTTGGCGCCACCTTCAAGCCCGTCGACGGCCAGGCCGAGTCATGCTGCCCCGTCACGCAGTGCGGCCCGGATGAGGAAGAGATTCGCGAGCCCACGCGCCAGCATGACCGCCTCTGCCGCAAGTGCGTTCGGAACATCACCTACCGCCCCGCCGGCTCAGACACGTGCGTGTCTGTGTCGCGTTGCGCAGCTTCAGCATACATTTCCACGCACGGCCGTGAGCGAGTGCGAGTTTGGCACCTTCCAGAGCCAGGTGCCCACGCTCGACTCCAACCGCGAGTGCACGCTGGAGTGCTCCGAGTGCCCCAGCGGCCGCTACGAGATTCGCGCCTGCTCCACGCTGGAGAACGTGCAGTGCGCTGGCTGCTCTGCGTGACCGCCGAACACCTACATCCTGCGTGTCTGCAACTCGGAGAACGACGTGTCGTGCCAGCAGTGCAGTACATGCTCTGATGAGCAGTACCGCAGCGCGCCATGCACCGCCACCAGCGACACGGGGGAGTGCACGACGCTTGACGTGTGCGACCAGGACTAGTTTGAGCTGTTCCCCATCCCCACGCCGACCACGGACCGCATCTGCCGCGACCTGACCCAGTGCAACCCGTCGACGGAGTACGAGCGCCGCCTGTGCCACCTCATCACCAAGTGCGACCCTGGTGAGCAGCGCATCCGCGCGCCCACATCCACCTCGGACACCAAGTGCGAGCCGTGCCTCATCGGCAGCACCGACCACGACCGCAACCCGCTCACTGCCTGCCAGCCGTGGCCCTACGGCCACTATGTGCCGGCGGGCTCCATCGGCTCCTGCGAGCAGTTCCTATGCCCGGCCGGCACCGCCGACGTGGACCGCCGCAACGCCAGCACACGCTGTGCGCGCCGTGCCAGGCTGGCATGGACTTTGCCGCCCTCTCTGGCCAGCACGCCGTGCACGCTTGTGACGGAGTGCGACCTCGGCTGTCATGAGGTGGTGCGCCCTACAATGCGCCCCACCATCTTCACTGACCGCCAGTGCCGCCGCTGCATCGAGGGCCTGTTCTACCGCGACAGCAACACGGACTTCTGCACGCGCGTGTCGCCCTGCGAGCCTGGCTCGTTTGAGACGGCCGCGCCCACCATCAGCACGGACCGCGAGTGCCAGATGGGCCCGCATATGCCCCAACAACAACACGTTCATCTCCCGCCCGCTCAAACCAACGACGTAGAACCACAGGCATCTGCTCGCCGTGGACGCAGTTCCTGTCCAACGAGTACGAGCTCGTTGCGCCGTCGCTGGTCAACGACCGCGAGTGCCAGCGCGTGCGCTCGTGCCAAGACACGGAGTACGAGGTGTCGACGCCCACGGCCACGACGGACCGCCTCTGCGCCACCATCAGTGGAGCAGTTTGAGGTGCTTCCACCGTGCGTGTGTGCCCGCGTACTCTGTCTCGCTCGTCTTTGACGCCGAGTTCAACGCCCTTGTCGGCACGCAGTCGGGTCGCGAGGCGTTTGAGGTCGCACTGGTGCAGTCCATCAACACGACGTAGGACGCGTCGCAGATTCATTCTGCGCATCGACCTGCGCCAGGGCACCACCATCGCCACCGTCGCTTCCCTCAACGAGGACTTTACGGCGCGCCTCTTCAGATGGTCTACCTCTGGCGACATCACCGTCATGGGCTTCACCGCATCGCCATGCGAGGCCGACGCGTTGTGGACGACTCGCCGCGTTGGTTGCACGGGTGCACACGCGATCCCACCCATCGCACACACCAACTGCTGGGGGCCTCACACGCACGCACGCTTGCAATTACACGTCGGTGCCACATCCCCCACCACGACATCCACAGCAGGCATCATCATTGCACCTGTTGTGATCGAGTGCTATCAGCACATGCCACCTTCACCTCCCACATCTTCGTCATCATCCTAGCACTGCTGCTGCCACCACCCACCACCAACGACAGCAACGAGCTCAAGGCATCGGATGCAGTTGACTCTTGGACCACCACGGCGTTGTTGGAAGTGACGCCAGCAGCAGCAGTGGTGCACGCCATTGCAACAGCAACGACAGCTGATGAGGTGGTGGTGGTGAATGTGATTGTGTTTGCATTCCTCACTAGTTCCAGCAACAGCAAGGAAGTGGGCACTGTGCTTCTGGTGGGCACGCGTGTGCTGGCTGTTGTTGGTACCATGGCTGGCAACAGCTGCTGCTGCAATGCGAGGCAACGGCAGTGAAGAAGGAGATGGATGTATGTGGTGTGCATGGCGCGCAGCGACGCTTCCTTTGTGGTTGGCTGTGCAATTGCATGTGTGCGCACACCGATGACGACGATGATGAGACGGCGGCCAATCAAATCACTTCCCATCTGAAGAGCCACCGCGTCATGGCTGGTGCACGCGTGCATGTCTTTCTTCCTGCAGGTCGCCATCGACAGAGCAGCGTTGCAGTGCGCCATGCGGTGTTTGATGATGCGTCGTTGTTGTTGTCACTGCGTCGGCTGTTTGTTAACACGTATGCCGTGCATGCCCACCTTCCTTCCTCCCTGCCTTCCTCCCTGCCTTCCTTCTTGCTGTCTCTCTGCTCTGCCACTCTCCCTTGTCAGTGTTGTGTGTTTGGCCGTGTTGCGGTGATTCCACCTTGCGTATCCAATCGTTCTCCAACAACAATACATTGGGGACAGAGCCAAGACATGAAGACACGACAACAGCCCTCAAACGGGGCACACAGTCAGCACCAACGTGCACATGTCTCACCACTTCACCTTCTATCCAAGCAAGAGAGGAAAGCAGAACCAGGGACACAGCACTGCTCAAGACAACAGTCACATCGCATGGTGCCACTTGCAAGGCAGCCAAACAGCCAAGTGCAACGTGGCCTGCACCAACAGCACCAACGACAAGGCCGCAGGCATCCACCAGCCACCACTGTGTGTCAGGGTGCTGCAGGCAAAGAAGACACACAAAGCGGGTCACTCCACGACGCTATTGTTGTTGTTGCTGCTGTACTTGAACGCCTCGCACCAGCCCTTCAAGCAAGCCCCTCCAGTGTCAGCTGCACTTGGTTGCCATTGTTGTCAGCTGGTGGTGCTGTTGTCGTGTGCACTGTGTCTCGCGGATGGCCTGTGTGATGAAGCAGAACGTGTCCAGCACCACCACGATGGTGTCAGGTGAAAGCAGTCGCCGTTGTCACGCACGTCCATCAAGCCTGCTTGTGTGGTTCACAAAACGAAGCCACGCACGCGCAAGGCAGTACCAGCAAGAGTGAGTGAGGCAGGTGCGTGTGTGTGTGTGTGCGTGTGTGCGCATCACAGCAGGTTATGTGGAGAACACGCACGAGGAGCTGCGTGCAGGCCATCACATGGAAGCAAATGATGATCAGGAGGCAAAACACGGAATCACTCACTTACAAGCAAGGATGCCGCTGCCACTTGCCACTGCCATGGCCTCGTGCATCGACGATGCCGTCGCCAGCCAGTGAGCTAGTCAGCTAGCCAGCTTTCAGTCAGGAAGGGAGTGTCCAACATCGTGTGGGGGCAGCAGGCTAAGGAGGATCTTGCACGGTTCTTCTCGTGTGCTTCGCACCACCAACACCTCATTTTTGTTGTTTTCAGCCCATGCTGCTGCTGGTGCTGTGTTGGCGAGCAATAGGGGGAGATGGCCAGTCATTCGGGGTTGCCACCACGTCGGCTAGCGTTGGCACCACCGCTGATCCATGCATGGAGTGCAATGGTGGCTGATTGTTGGTTGGTTGAGTGAGTGTTGGAGAGGGAAGGGGAACACGAGCTGATGGGAAGGAGAAGGAAGGTGGAAGGAAGGGAAATGGTGCTGTGGGTCGGTGGAGGTTGTGCAGTCGCACACCAGTCAGTCAGTGGGAGAGGGAAGTGAAGGGAAAGGAAGTGGTGATCACTTCTGTACTTGGCATGGAGCAGCGCTCTCACCACAGCAGAGCAGAGAAGAGAGAGGAGAGGAGAGGAGAGGAGAGGAGGGGAGAGAGGAGAGGAGAGGAGGCACTGCAGCACATTCAAACTCATGCACTGGCTGGTTGGATGGTTTGTTGAGAGTGGTTGGTGTTGTTGTGGGGAGAAGGAGAAGGACAGCTGGCCGGCTGCTTTGTGGAGGAAGATATGGGGAGTTTTCGTGGCTGCGCGAAAAAGGAATGGTGGTGGAAGTCTTGACGTACTTTTCGTAGGGTGCGGAGTGTTTGTGAAAAGGAAACCGCCCCAAGAAAGGCACAGCAAACAACAAGCAGAGAAGGGAAGAAGAAGCAAGCACTGCAAGCAGTGGTTTGTTTTTGTTTGTGGTGTGTCCTCTCCACTCCATTTCTGCGTCGTTCCAGTCACAGCAGAGGTCTCACAGCACCCCAGCCAGCCAGCCACACAAACAACAAGCAAGCAATAGGAGAGAGAAGAGAGGGAGGAGGAGAACAGACAAGGAGGAGACAGGGCAGATGGGTGACACCCACAGCAAGGCAGAGGGAGAGGAGAGGGCGAGGGAGGAGGTGGAGGCCTTGCTGGCGCAGACAAAGCTGAATGATGAAGCGAAAGACAAGATCAGGGCCATCGCCAACAACACGTGTGGGGATAAAGTGAGGTGAGCGCATACCAAAATGGCATATTGCTGTGTTGGAGAACAGCACGCACCCTGCATGCTCTGCTCTCAGCTTGCCTTGTTGCTGGGCTTTTCGTGTGGGGCAACCACAATCGCCATGGCCGATGTGACTTATTGTCTGCTTGTCTCTTGGCCTGGCACGCATTGAATGGCAGCTTTGTTCGGGCTGGCCTCGGCGACAGTGGGGTGACCGCGTTGGCAGAGGCGCTCAAGGACAACACCTGCCTCAAAGAGCTTGAGTACGTGGTGATTTGAACTGCATCGTGTGGCATGCATTTCTGGTTGATTGCTTCATGCTGGTTGTTGGCTATCGTCTTTTCCTCTTTGTGTGCTCACGGCATGTGTTTTGACCGCCCACTTTCCGTGTTGACAGCCTGTGGTACAACCGCATCAGCGATGAGGGCGCACTGGCGTTGGCGGAGGTGCTGAAGCACAACACGACCATGACAAAACTCTTGTGAGTTGAACACACATGCATGCATGTTTGGAGATGGGCTGCCTCACTGCCGTTGCAAAATGCCCTGTGCTGTGGGTGCGCATGCGCATGTGTGGTGGGGGTGGGGTCAATGACAATGGTGTTACCCGCAGCGATCATCCCGTTCTCACTCACTCTTCACCCATATGGCATCATCGCTGTGCGTGGCATCATACCATCTTGACAGCCTGGAACACAACAACATTGGTCCTGAGGGCGCTGTGGCGTTGGCGGACGCACTGAAGCACAACACGACGTTGACCGCACTCATGTAAGTGTGACACACATACATGCACGCATGTTTGGATGGCAACGGGCTGCGTCAATCTCATTGCACCATTATCCCGTGCTGTTTGTGTGGGTGTGCGTGTACGGATGCACCGCGGATGCTCATGTGTGGTGGGGTGGATTCCATGTGTTGCTACCCACTGCAATCATCCCTCACTCACCCCTCCTCTCATGTGGCATCATCGCCCTGCGTGGCATCACACCATCTTGACAGGTTGAGGGGCAACCGCATTGGTCCTGAGGGCGCTGTGGCGTTGGCGGAGATGCTGAAGCACAACACGACCTTGACTACACTCGAGTGAGTGTGCACACATGCATGTGTGGATGGCAATGCGCTGCGTCACTGCCATTGCGCAATGCCCTGTGCTTTGCGAATGCACGTGTGTTGTGGAGTGGGTTCAACGACTGTGTTTCCGCCCACAGCGACCTTCACGCGCTCACTCACTCTTCCTCGCTCATGTGACATCATCACCCTGCGTGACATCATTCCATCCTGACAGCCTGGCACGCAATTCCATCGAGGATAAGGGCATTCTTGCGTTGGGGGAGATGCTGAAGTACAACACGACCATCGAAGGCCTCGAGTAAGTGCACACACAAACACGTGCAAATTTGAATGGGCGGTGTCACTGCAGTGTGTCATTGCCTCCGCGCGCATGCGAGCAATCAGGTCACATTCCTGCCTGCGAATGCCAGCCGCTGCGTTCGTTTTTGCCCACTCACCGAGATCCTTATCTCATCCAACAGCATGCACAACAATGGTACCACGGAGCGAGCCATGGTGAATGTGCTGAAGCAGCTGCAAGTCATGGACACCAAGGCCAACATACGGTGAGTTTCATGCCCTTGCCACATCGCTCATTCAGCTACCCACTCGGTGTCAGGTCACCCTCTTCCTTCTCACATCCCTCTGCGCTTTCCCCTAGGCTGTTCGAGGACAAGCTCAAATCCTCCACCGCCGTTGCCCGTGTACTGGCCACGCTCCGCATCAAGCGGCCAGACTTCAACGTCGTCTTCTGCAAGTGGTGAGTCCATGTCAGGCTTCCTCTTGCTGCAACCACTGCTCCCACCTCACCTCCTTTCCTCTATTCGCGCTGCATTCTTCTTCTCCTCAGGCGTGTCAAATTTTTCAGAACAAAGGACGACTTCAGCCCTGCCGCCAGGGCCGCCTATCAAGATCAGCTTGATCTCCCGAAACTGCTTGAAACAGGCCCCGTCCCTCTTGGGACAGCGAAGGTGTTCGTGTGCGGCGATTGCGGCATCGGCAAGACGACCATGCTCGAGTCGCTCCCAGATGCTGATGAGGGCAGCAGTTACCTTCCCCGATTCCTGTCATCTTGGTTCGGGCAGCCACGTCATGATCCAGAACAGCCTGGTGCTTATGGGGTCATCGGCTACATTGGGCGATTTGTATCAGCTTTTTCCTGGCAACCACGCCACGATCCACGCCAGGCATGCGCGCACACGCCCGGCATTCGCGCCCGTGAAATGAAGCTCAAACAGAGCCACAGCAGCGATGACACTGCGTCTCTTCATGTGTACGACTTTGGTGGAAGCCGGGCCTATCACGTGATCCACACGCTCATGATGTCGGATCGCTTCGCTGCGTTTGTCGTCTGCGTCGACCTCTCCCAACCAGAAGAGCACGTGAAGGAGCGCGCCAACTACTGGCTGCAGTTCATCTGCACGCGACTGAAGCAGGGCATTGCGGCTGCCACAGCAACAGCAGGCGACGACGAGACAGAAGACACGAAGCCGCGCGTCGTGATCGTGGGCACCAAGAGGGATCTTGCCCGAAAGATTGGGCTTGTTGAAGCATTTTGGCAGCCCACTTGGAGCGCAGCGATGGTCGCACACCTCAAAAGAACGTATGGCAGCATCGTTGACATCCAAGACAGCCTCATCTCCCTCAACTGTCATGGGCGTGGTGATGTCAGTTTCAACACGCTTCGCGCGCGCCTTGTGCGAAACTGGCGGTGGATGAAAGGGCAAGAGGTTCTCGTCCCCAGAGTTGTGGATCGGCTTGCGACAGCCCTCCAGTCAGCCAGGAATGAGAAGCCAGCGTGGGTCATCGATTCGCTCTTTCAGTTTGTCCGAACCCACACGCCTGGACTCGACTTGACCTCCTTTGACATGACAATGTTTTCTTCTGCGCTGAGGTAGGCTTGCAAGACTTCGCAGATTTGTCATCCTTGTTGTGCAAACAGTTGACTGACTTGAGGACCAGTGCCAGAATGCTCACACACGCCTACACCCTTGCTGTCCCTGCTTCCCACACATGTACACAGGTACTTCCACACACGTGGCGATCTGCTCTGGTATTCCAACACCCCATCCTTGGCGGATTTCGTCTTTGTTGACCCCAACTGGCTGCTTCATGACGTGCTGGGGAGAGCGCTGACGCCGGATGGCGTGCAGCAAGGCTCGATCACAAAAAAAGGCGTTGTGACCTTCACAGACCTGGAAACCGCATTTGATGGCATCGCCGACGCAGATCTCGTCATCAACGTGCTGCAGCACATGCTCTTCTGCTTCGAGCTGCCGCCTTCGAACTATGGCCAACAGCGATTCATGCTGCCGAGCCGTGTTGAGGAGGAAGTCGATCTCGCAACCGCCTGGCCTCAAGCTGGTTTCTGGCCCCTCTATGCCGGACGACTGCTGGTGGTCGAGAAGAAGGCGCTCGCACTGCCACCTGGCTTCTTCCCACACGTGCAGACGCTGCTGCACAATTCGTTTGGCACAACCCTTAGGGTGTGGGAGGATGCCTTCTTCTGTGAACACGATGGCGTGCAGTGCCTCGGACTGCTGCGTGGCGATCGACAAGTCGACGTCTGGGTGCGGGCATCTTCTGGCGCAGAGCACAAAGCCCTGCCATTCATGACAAAGGTCAGTTTGTGAGCGATTGTGAGTGCTTGTGGGCATGTATGTTGTGTGTGTGTGTGTGTGTGTGTGTGTGTGAGTGAGAGAGCTTGCGTTGTTGTGCCCCATCGCTTGCCAGGGAATGGCCAGTCTATATTTCCCCTCTGCTCGCCCTTATCCCATCCTCTGCTCACTTGCGGTGTTGATGACAGGTGCTGTCAGTGCTGCAAGAGGAGGCAAGAGGGATTGACCACGTCCACCTCGTCCTCAGCACGAAACACCTGAAGCGCCACGAAAAGTACCCAGCTGCGCACAAGCTTGAGGATCTGACAGGCAAGGACCCAGACGAGCTCGTCACATCCACGCACCACAGGGAAAGCCAGACCCCAGTGTCCGACCGCGTTGGCGATCTGTTCCTGCAGGCGCCCACGCAACCACCACCCGTCATGCCGTCTTGGCAGTTGCGCGACCACGAATGGCACCACCCTGCTTGGCGGCTCGACGATGCCTTTGATGAGCAGCTTCCATGGAGCGGGCCAAGTTCACATGGCGTGTATTCGGCACCCTTGCCACCAAACACCGACCTCTATCGATGGATTGAGAGTCAGATGGCGCCGGGCCTCACCCTGTCGCGCGTGGAGATGATCAAGTCCACCACAATGCTCGATGCCTTTCACACCGAAATGAAGAAATCGGCGACTCGTCGTGGTGGTCAAAAGCCCTTCAACAAGGACTTTGGGGCTGGCGATCCGGAGAAACAAGCCATGCTCGATCGGCTCAAGACGCAGTTTGCAGAAACACCCGACAGCGTGAAGCACGTCAATGTGCTGATTGGTTTCCACGGCTGTGACGAGGCTGTCACCGACGACATCACCGCCGCGGGCACCGCCAACCTCAGTAACCCGAACGACCCTGGCTTCTTTGGTGCTGGCATCTACCTCACGCCGCAGGCCAATTACGCGGCTGGCTACTCGACACGCCTGCTGACTGGAAACTGGCGCGCACCCAACGCAGATGGCGAGCACGTAATGCTCCTGTGCGCTGCCAGCGTCGGCCTCGCATACCCGATCACCAGGAGTAAGGACTACCCATCGTCTGGGGAAAACAAGTGCAAGAAGTTCTGGGGCAAGAAGCTGAAGAACGGCTGCGACACCCATTATGCTCAAGTGACGAAACGCATGAGCTATCAATCCACCGACACGCCTGCCACCTTTGACTTCGAGGAGTATGTGGTCTCACAAGAGGCGCAGGTTTTGCCATTCGCCAAGGTGTTTGTCAAGGTGGACAAAACAGCACTCGCAGCGCAACTCTAGCCACATGTGTGCGCGTGTGTATGTGTGTCTGTCTGTCCGCCCGTCTGTCTGTTCATCTGCCCGTCCGCCCGTCTGTCTGTTCATCTGCCCGTCCGCCCGTCTATCTGTCCATCCTCCGTCTGTATGTCGACCTGCCCGTCTTTTCCTTTCCTTGCACCGTTCCCCCCCCCCCTTTGTTGTGTGGTGACACCGTTGCCCTTTGTGTTTCAGGGCCTTTCACATTGGCACTTTGCTCTTCTGTTCGTAGCATCGTTCTTTGAGACTCTTACTCCTTCACCCAAACCCTGCGCCACTTCACAACACCCTCTTCTTCGTGCCACCGATGCTGCTTCCCTTCATTTGCCAAATACACAAGCACAAAACCAATGCGGCTCACAACACTCAGGCACTACTACTCACAACACTCAGGCAACAGACATGGCAAATACATCAGCTGCAAGTAACAGCGACCCCAATCATCACTTTGCGCTGTGAACCTTGACAAGCTCAACTCACGCATTTACTCAAGAGGGTGGACAGTGCGACAAGTGGATGCGCGACACAAATCAAAGGAATGGAGAGCGACATCAAAACGACACACGAAGCAGAAGCGCAACGCCAGCTCCCCTATCGAAGCCAGAGAAGCCACAAGCAGCAACCGTCCCCTCAACCTCACGCACGACCAACTTCCCGTTCACATCAACCACTCAAGTAAACCCCATTCCCTGCACCGGCTCTTCTTGACCGCCACCACCATCACCCCTGCCGCGAGCCAACAGCTGTTGCAGCAACTCGAGCGTGCGATCAACCTTCTCTTCTAGAGACTTGACTCGTTCGTCTACACCTCCAACTTTTGCGTCAAGCCTCTTGCTGAACCCAGTCTCCATACCCTCCACTTTCCCTTCCACACCCCCCATCTTCCTTTCTACACCCTCCACCTTGTCTGCCACCTCCTTCTTGAGGGCGTGCAGCACACCCTGCCACTGCACGCTGCCACCGTCACGGCCGACGCCGCTGCCCTTGGGCACGAGCACGTGCAGCCACATGGGGAAGCGTCGCGCATCCATCTTCCCCTCCAGCGTCAGCCACGCGTCCTGCTCCCGCAAGATGCGTGCGCGCAGCAGCTGGAACTCGATGTCTGCGCGGTCCTGGATGCGCTCGTACGAGTCTGACATGAGCGCAATCAACAGGTTCAGCAGCACGACGGGGACCAGCACCATGGAGATGACAAACAGGATGCGCAGCAGCACCACGTAGTCGCCGTCAAAGGTGTCCAGGTCAAAGTCCGCCAGCAACAGCAGGTTGAACATGAGCAGCAGCCCATTGGCTGGGTCGCCCAGTCCTTCAACCAGCAGCGTGGTATCATCACGCAGCAACAGCCGGAACGACGTCCACCCGGCCACGATGCTGATACCAAGCACCAACAGGAAGTAGCGCATGTCGAAGCAGATGGCCAGGATAGTACAACAGCCCGTACCACCGCCAGGTACACCGCAAGCGCCAAGAACGCACGCGCGTGCACCCACCCAGCAAAGTACGTGCCCAGCACCACAAACACCAACACCACATTCGTCACGTCCAGCCAGTTCCAAAAGTCGAGCCAGTAGCCGTGCACCAACCGTGACTGCCGCACCTCCTGCAGCATGTCCACGCCAGCCAGCACGCCCAGCACCACCATGATCACCACTGACACGACATCGCTGCCGTTGTTGCTGTTGCTGCTGTTGTCGGCTGCACCCAGCAGCTGGGCCACGTCCTTGCCGCTGGTGTTGAAGACGAAGGTGAGGGCGGTGATGAGAGCGACAGAGAGCAGGTACCACGCCGCCTACCACAGGAACTGGCGCAGCCCGCTCGTCTGCCACTTGTACTGAATGACGGCGCGAACAATGAAGCTGCCAAACAGCTCAGCATCGCCCGTGTCCACCAGCGTCTCAAGCAGGCTGGAACCGTCATTCACAAACCCAGCAGCACGCGGCAACGGCACCACGCGCGCCTCTGTCAGCGTGGGCGCTGCGTTGGCGTCTTGAAGCTTGGCCAGCTCACCAGACTCACGCATGTCGGCCCATAGGTTGCGGTTGATGTTGAGGGTGTTCGCGCCCATGACGATCATGCGTGATGACGGCAACTGGATCTCTGCCGGAGCGCCCACACGCGTCCGCACGAGACCAAGGTTGTCGAGGAAAGCAGAGGCGATGGAGGGAAAGTGCTTGATGAGCAAGATCACGTCGGCCGTGAAGGCAGAGCCGAGCTTGGGAATGTTGAGGAATGGCTTGCTCAGCATGCGTCCGGCGTCGCCTTTGGTCTCTGTGCTGCGTGCTGTTGCGACAAAGAAGTCGGCGATGGTCTGGACGCCGTTGACGTCCTTGGATCGCATGATGGCGGTGTTGAGCATGGATGGCTGCTCAACAAAGTCCACACACACCACACCTTCCATCATCTTCTTTGCCATGTCAAGATGCTTGGCAGTTGATGTCAGGTACGGCAATGCAGTGATATGTAGTCATCGAGTTTGTGCGCATCTGCGGGAGGTGTTGCTGGTGGAACAACAATGGGCACAATGGCGTAGGGGCGGCATCTGGGGTCTGTCGTTGGGCGGAGATGGTGCAGGTCAAACTGCTGTGTGGGGATCATGGCGCGGTTCAGGGTCGGTCCCAGCGCCCACAGGGCAACCCTGCCTCGCGAAACGCTGCTTGAAACAGTAAGCAGGCGCTGGTGATCGCACATGGCCATGTCATCTGCTCTGTCATTGCGATGCAGTATGGTACTGTGCTGTCCGGTGCTGTAGTCGCACTTGATCACGCTCTCAACAGAGTTGACGAACAAGATGCTGCTGTGACGGGCAAAGACGCTGTACTTGACCGGAACGTTTCTGCTCACCTTGAGCTTGCTGAGGACCTTGCGGTTGGCGACGTCGCACACAACCACATCGCCTCGCGCAGTGCCAATCGCCAGCAGGCTGTCATCAGTTGGGTGCGTGGCCATGGTAGTGACGGTCATGTTGGCGTTTGGCTCTACCTCGTCCACAAACAAGTCATCCAACACCGCCACACGCGTCAGCGCACTGCTCACACCACTACTGCTGCCGTTTACGTGCTGCTGCTGTTGCTGCTGCCGCTGCTGTTGTTGCTGGTGATCCTGCTGGTGGTCGTCATGCTTCCGGTGTTCAATGACGTAGACGTGCAGTGTGTTTCCGCACGCGCTAGCAAGCTTGTTGCTGCTGTCCGCAAGCGCTGCAATGTGCGGAACACGAACGCCCGTGACCTCTTTGGGTTGTGCCAACGTCGCACGACCAACACAAACGGGCGCATGTCGTTGTTGTTGCCGCTGCTGCTTCTGCTGTTGTTGTTGGCGCCACTGCTGCTGTCCCTTCATGTTGTGTTGTTGCTGATCGTGTGGATGTGAGGGTGCTGAGATCCCACACGCGCAAGTCGGTGGAGGTGGACGCAGTCACCAGGAAGCGGCCATCAGGGGTGACGCGCAACGCATCCACGGCAGTGCGCTATCGCTCCTTGCTCGCCGGTTCCGCCTCTACCCCTCTCGCTGCTTCTCCGTCCGCGTCTTGTATCGTCTCCTCGCCATTACCGACAGCATCGGCCCTCCACTCTGCAAGCAGGGTCGATGGCTGACCAAGCTGCCACAAAGAGATGACACCCGCCTTGTTGCCCGCGATGTACAGGGTGGGCGTGAGTGTCATGCAATGCGTCTAATGCGTGTGCTCGAAGGTGGACGGCACGACCGCCAGGCACTTGAGGTCTGGCACGCGGTGCAGCTTGCACTCCTAGGGCACCTTCTGCCACCTCTCGATGACGCCATCGGACACGGCAGTGCATGCAAGCTCAGCGCCAGGGAAAGGATCCTCGAAGATGAGGGTGCGTTCAGCCTCATGTGCACCGAGGCCGCAGATGTTCACGCGGGAATAAGAGGGGCAGATGAGGTGCCTGCCGTCCTTGGTCCACACCATGTCGGTTGCTGTGACGGGCACGCGCTGCTTGCACGCCAGCCTGTGCATGTCCCACACAAACGACTCAGCCACCAGCAGGCGGCCATCGGGACTGGTGTTGACGTAGGAGTAGCCGCCCTGCTCAGAAGGACAGCTGCCAGGAGGCCTCAGAGAGACGAGAGTAGGAGTGCGTGTCTGCTTGGCTGCTTGATGTTCTTGATGTCCTGGGAAGACTGGTGCTGAAATGGATGTGCGATGTATATTCGTGGTTTGTGTTGAGAGGGAAGTGTTGTTGGATGGATGAGTGGCTGTGTTGAATGTGCTCGATGGTGTGAGCCAAAAGAACTGAGCCAACGCACGCAACGTGAACGGAACACGAAAGACAGGTCAAAGCACCAACAGAAGAGAAAGGAACAACTGTTGCAGTGGAAGAGCAGCAGTTTCAGGATGTACGTGTAGCACACACACACACACACATACACACACACACACATCACGGCTCACCGCTTGGTGTGGAGCTTGTTCTCCTCGCTTGGGTACTTGGTAGGGTGCACCTGAACATCGTCGCAGATGAGGCAGTGATGTTAGCATAAAACGACTGCACACAACCGCCACCACCACCTCACCCCAAGCAACCGCCACCACCATCTAACCCCCAAGCAAACAAGGCACCCCACAGCCAGCCCACCTTGCAGACGCATGCGTAGAGGTTGGTGGCGGCAATCAGAAACGCCTTGTGCAGCGGATTCTGCTGGATCAAACTCGAGCGCCTCGCGGAAGATCTTGTGGTCTTTGTGTCCAGCACACGCGAGGTGCGGAGCATGGAACGAGGCAAACACGCGATCAGTTGCGGTGTGGATGGTGCTGCCAGAGCGAACACCACACACACATACACGCACACACACACACACACACACAAACACAGACACACACACGCACGCACGCACACACACACACGCACGCACACACACACACACGAGTCCTCACCTGACCAGAAGGGCTCTCCACTCTTGGTCTTTGCGGGGGAAGTTGGCGATGAGTTGCAGAATGACATCGCGGAAAAACGCGTGGAAGTCGCGCCATGCCAGCGACACACACGTCTCCATCGTCGGCTTCTCTTGCAGCTGAAAGAAAGAACGTGTCGGTGGTGGTGAAGGTACGGAGATGTTAACCCTCATAAGCAGGAAAGGGTGTGTCATCACATCCATCACACAATTACCACACAACTACCACACGCTACCATCACCCTCAACAACAACAACACCAGCACCTGTGCGGCGAGGTCCTTGATGGCCTTGAGCGTGCCCACGCCGCGTTCGAGGGCGCCAATCCACTCACCGCCCACGTGCTGCTCAAACTTCGTCTCCAGCCCCGAGGTGAATCCCTCAGGATCCTCCAAGAACTGCTGCAGCTGCGACGCAGGGCTCACAAACAGGTCCGCGAACTTGGCCCGCGCCCACTCGATGCAGTGGTCAATGAGGTGTGGGAAGTTGTGCAGCGTGCACATGGGGATGCCGCCACCTGAGAACAGAAAAAGAAGATGAAAGAAGGGATGTTGACTGATGATGAGGCAATGTGTTCGGGCGGGTTGAAACGGTTGCGCGAGCTACTCAAATGCACACACGCACGTGCACACAGCACACATACCTGCTTCTGCGTCGCCGCCGTCGCTGCATGAGTTGGTGGTGTGCGGCACAATGACGTCGACGTTGGCGTCCGTGCCCATCGTCCCGCTCTCCAGCAGTGGCTTCTCGTACAGCACACACTCGCTGTCAACAGGTTGTGTGATATTGTATGTCGAGGGGGGTTCGTGTGTATGGATCAAGATAGTAGGTGAGTGTGCATACAGTCGACTTGAAATCTCATCAATCGACGTGTTGTCTGCACACACACACACACGCGCGCGCACGCACACACGTACACACACGCACGCACGCACGCACACACACACACACACAACACACACACACACACACAGCCGTCGTTGGCGCCGGCCATCCTAGACGCATTCTCAAATCTCAAGTACGAACACGACGTTGATGTTGGTGTTGTTGTTGATGACGTTGTGTATCTGCGGGGTGATCCTCAGCCACTAAAGAAGTTCTTGGATTGCGACGCAGCCATTCCGCCATCATCCCTCACCCATCTCCCCCTCCCACCCACACACACACACCACGACCACCCTCATCCACGCCCTTGCTGTGCAGTGTGGCGCCGGCACGCCTGCGCCAGATCTGCGATCACGTGTTGAGCCAGCTTGGATCGTACAGCCCAGAGTGCCTTCAGTCGTCATCAAGTTTCTCATGCAGCAAGGTGGCGCTGTTGTTGAGGGGAGTGGCAGATGTTGCCGCAGTGTGTGATGGTGATCTCACATGTGCCTGCGTGCCTGCACGTGTCGCTGTGGCTTGTTCTCTCACAGCCGATCCCTCACATGCCTTCACACACACACACACGCACACATGCACGTTGACATTCAGCGGATGGAATGGACGTGAATCTGCTGACAGCGAACATGATCGCTGACTCCTCCACCATGCACACGGCGTGCTTGTCTGTGGTGGCTGCCATCAAGAACGGGCTGGCATTTGATGCGCGCATTGCAAAGGCGTGGCTGCGGCCAACTCAAGACTACCATGGCCCAGCCGATCACCGCCCTCGATCTGCTTGTGCTTGTGCTGCTGCTTCACCACCAGAACGCCCACCGCCGCGGCGCGGAGACCACCGTCATCAAGCTTGCAAGCACGGGCCGGCTCACCGCTGCCATGGCTGCTGCCATGTTTGCCAGACACACGCGCGCGTTCTTGATGTGCTTCAAGTCGATTGTGCACATGATCGACATCCTGAACCGGCGGCAGCCGCCACCTCGCCTCCACAGCAGGAGGTGGTTGGGGCGCTGGTAGCGCACATTGGCATGGGGTAGGCACAGGAGGTGGACGCAGCCACGCCTGTGCTGCTGCTGTCGCTGGCCACAGACCACCCGAAGCTGCTGCACTCGTTTGCGCTCATGTTGAACGGCATCCTGGACTGTCTGAGCAACCTGCACTTCATCCACATCTGGCAGCTCTTCCGTGTCCTGACCACGCTCACGTTTGACCGCCAGCGCATCCCCGCCGCAGGCCTCATCGATGACGAGAACGAGGATGGTGTGTGAGATTGAGTGAGTGAGTGTGTGTGTGTGTGTGTGTGTGTGTGTGTGTGTGTGTGTGTGTGTGTGTGTGTGTGTGTGTGTGTGTGTGTGTGTGTGTGTGTGATCTTGTGCGTTGGGGAAGATGTGTTAACATAATGTCCTTCCATGAAGAGTGTCTCTCACCTGTTTCACTCCACCACCACCACCACCATCCCTTCTGCATTGCACCCATGTACGGCAGCTGTCTCAATCGAACGAAGAGCTGAAACGCATCGACACCATCGCCGCCGCCACCGTCACCCACACCTGGCTCGCTCTTGCCAACGACGCAGGCATCTCCATCGACGGTGCGTGCGTGCGTTCATGCGTGCGTGCGTTTGCGCCCTTGTCTGCACCCTTGTTTGCGGTTCACCTGAGTCCCCCGTGTGTACCTGTCGTGCTCCTTCTCATCCATCACTCACCCGTCTCCTCGCCTGTCCAACAGGCGACCATCTCTCCTCGCTTTTGCAGGTATTGCAGCTCATCTATGTCGACAAGAGTGTTCAGCTGACATGCTCCGTTGCCACAACGTCTCCACATCCACGCCCAGCGATTTGCCCGTCTATCGTGGCGTCGTTTCCTCCCCCCACCGCCAGCACCAACAACCATCAAGAGCAAGCACATCTGTCAGAATGCCATCGCGCCGCTTCAACGGGGATGGCGGACTCACCATCGAGCCGCCGCCGCCGACGGCCGGTTGGGTTCAGGTCGCTCGCCGACCCCGGCAGGCACGTGTGGAGGGAGCCGGGACCCCAAGCGCACGTTACAACACCGTCAACACGATTGTGGTTTGCGCAGACGAACGGGTGTGCCCCACACGCGGGGGAGATGTACTCCAACTTCTCGCCTGAGTACACGCGCGCCCGCGAGGTGGGCAAGGACACGCACGTGGTCGTCAGCGAGAAGACGCTGGAGGCGCCGTTCGAGACGAAGCTGACGCTGCTGTCGGGAATTGCCGCCGTGTTCGCGGGCATGATGCGCAGCAAGACCGTCGTGGAGCTTCTCGCACGTACAGGGTTGCGGAAGCACGCTGCCGGGACGCGGACCTCTTCACGTTCCTGATGGCGCTGCAGCCCATTTGTATGGTGGGACCTGTCGCTGGGGAGGGGCGACCTGAACCCGGAGGAGGGAGACGGTGGTGGAGGTGCAGCACGAGAGTTGGGCGCATCGCCGATTGGCGTGGGCCTGCAGCGACGACTTGCTGTTCCGCACGGTCATGGACGGACAACGAGTCCAGTCTGGGCAACCCAGCCCTGCGACAAGGCTGCTGGCGTCGTGCACGCTGGGCAACTGAATCCGCTGCCGATGCCGCC